GGTAAAGTCCTTCTTCCCCAACATCTTCTGATGTACTTCATTTATACAATTTGGTAATGAAGTACTTAAACTACCACATCACTGATTAGTTATTGCAGTGTGAGCTCAGTTCAATTAATCGGGTCACAGTAGTTTAGCACGTCTACAGCAATCATGCAACCAGCATGACTGAGGAGGACACTGAGTGGACGGGCTTTGCAGGTCAGACTTTGAAACGATCTTTTATTTATCTTTTATTGTCATTATGCCAAAAGCAGTGAAAATATATGCTGTCCAATTCAGTGCAAATAAAGAATCTGTGTTTACTGACAGGACAAAGCATTGAACATGATTTCATCTTTTAAACTGCAGCTGTTAAACTGGACAAATTCCAACACAATTCCTAATTATTTCTTTTTCTTAAGTAAAACCAGTAAAAGCTTCTACTTCAAAAATATGGACCTTGGTTAACTACAAGGTTTACAAGACCTGATCAAATGTCACACTGGAAATATTTTGCAAGTGAAACGGCAAAAGCAAATGAAAAAATGTAAATATGTTCATTGGACCACCTACATTGTTTCGAGAGCAGGGGTGAACTGAAGAGTGCTACCCATCACTTCAGTTTCAGCATATATTTTCTATTTAACACTCAAAAAAAAAATCTGTTGTACAAGTATTAAAAATATATTCACAAATGAAATTTACATGCCTGAGATGAAAACATTACTCATACAAGTTATCAGGTAAAGTTTCTATATAGCACTGTTACATCTAAATATGGACACTGAGCTGGGACTTAATGTCACAGATCTGAGCCTCTGCACCTTCACTATACGTTTGTGTTTGTCAGGCCTGTCCTGTATCTCTCCACCACCTGATCCAACTCACCACCAAATCCTGATCAGCTGATCATCTCTGCTCCTCTAATCACCTGAGTATCCAAGTATCCGAGAGTGTCCATCGATCTGACAATACAATTGTAAAATCGATCATTGACCTGTGCCCTAATGTGTTCTGTGCACTTGTGAACACACTTTCTTATGGAGTACGTTTATTAAGGACACACTTTCATTAGCACAGAGGTTCAATAACACAACAAATAACCTCCAATAAACCTTTTAATAAACTGTCATTGGAGGCTGATGTGTTCTCTCTT